ATGACAAAGGCTGACATGCATAAAAGGGCTTGGACCCCGGTCATAACTGCTTTGCAGTTCTAGTTATTATTGTTATTGTTATTATTGTTATTATTTTGGCCTCATTACATGATAAACGATCATGAAGTTCTCTGTCAGCCTTTTAAAAATCCTCTAAAATATTAAAGTCACATTGTCAACAAACTTCTCTTCAGTCTTGTTCAAATAGCTCCCAAAACACAACATTTTATTTTTTGCTGTTTTTGCTAAAAAAAGGTGGGGGGGGGGGAGTAAATAGAGTAAACAACCTTGGCCCCACAGCTTTCTTATTGTTTCCCAGTCGTTGCCATAAATAAAGAGCTGATCTATGAGTTCTTGTTTCCTCAGACGCAAAAAGAACACAAAGCCTGTTGTCAACAGCAATATGCCGTTTGGCAGGCTTTGCTTGTAGTTCAGACATTTTCGAATTGGACTTGTCAAAAAGACAATAATGAGAAACATCCCAACATCAGTGCTCTGCACACAGCCGAATGTGGAGACGGCTTGTTTCCGGGCTCAGAATTTAAATACGTTTTCACTGAGGTTTTAAAAAAATAGTTGAAATCAGTTTTTATAATTTAGCACATGAAATGTTATTATGTTTATATCATTATTTCAACATTTTTTGTGCTTATGCTCATATCAGCTTTACTTTTCACCATTGCAAGTGTTAAAATGTCTTACTGCGGATGGTTTTGCATCATAAATGTGTCATAATAAATGTGACAGGATTGCCAAACCTCTTCATCCTGATTCAGACAAAAAAATAAAGGAGAAAAAGGCAGAATTTAAAGCCCAAATCAAAGGTCCTGTGTTTCATCTTCTTGTCCACAGGCGGGCCTCACAGATGAGCAGCTGAAGTCTTTAAATGATATCTTTGAAGGCACGTACAAAACCAAGTACCCTATTGTGGGTTACACCGCCGCACGGATCCTCAACCAAGACGGAAGTCCCAACGAACACTTCAAACCTGAAGACCAGCCTCATTTTCAGATCAAAGACGAGTTCTAGCTCCATCTTCATAATCACAGCTGTTAATACGCACACAAGTGGACCAAAGAAGTATTTTTTTGTTGTTGTTGAACTCAGGTTTATGTGATTCTGTGTGAGCTGAGGGTCAAATATGTGCTAAACATTGACGCTTGTTTGAAGACGTTTCTCACTCTGATGGTTCTGTACTTGAATCTTTGAGTTTTCACATTTGGACATTTTCTGATGATTTCCTGTGAGTCAGTGTTTGACAGACTGAGGCTGGATGTGACGTAACAACAGGTTAAATACAGTTGTGAACCTATTCTGCTGGGTATTTGTTTAACTCTGGTGTTTTCTGSTTTTCTCCAAATACAAATTGAAACAAAAGTTAATTCAGTTTGTTTTGTCAGAAGATGTCTGGCACAGGGTGTCATCAATGCTGCAGGTTTTGGTTTGTTTGAAATGTTTCATTATTTTTGTCTTTTAGCATTGTACAGTGTGTGGAGGAAACAAAACCTGTTTTATTTTTGTTTTACAACAAATGAATTATTTTTTTCTTATCTAKTTAACATTTAATTCTTCCAGTTGTACATTTTTTTATTAAAACACTAAGTGCATCATTCAGTAAAAAATCAGATTATTATAATTAAACAGTAATTTTGACATCATCCATTCTCAGTTTGTTTTTGAATCATAAAATAAATTCTTTCTTTTCAGTGCTTTCTTAAAGTTTTATCACAAACCCAAGCTTCTGCTGTCTTGTGCCACTTTTTCACTAGTGCCACTAGTGTCGGTACAGTTTGGTACAGTTCCAAGTCATTTCCATTAGGCCAGATTCATGGAACCGGCCCTTTTTTTAGTAACTACTTCATTGTGGTTCCAAGCGGCCCCAGTTGACACCAAAATGCGATGTCAGAACACTGTTCCTCACTGATTGGCCAGGGGGTGGAGTCACTGGTTGCGTCTAAGCTGCCTTTACAACAACAACTCAAGGAGCCATTTTTTCAATTGTAGCAGTGACAGTCGTGATTCCATCCAATTTTAATTAGAAATGTTTGCAAATTTTTAAAAATTCAAAAGTTATTCATCAAATGTGTTTCYAGCTCTCATTTTGCCCATTAACCTTTTTCAGAAAAACTAAAAACCACCTCCACCAACCGCCCAAAACACACCCATTGGAACCGGACTGGAACGTCAATGGAAAACTGACCCGTTCCGACACTGGCCGTACCGATACTACACTTAAGTGGAAAAGGACATCTTTCGGCTTGTGTCGCAGCTTAAATATCCTGCCTGCTGTTCTCCAGCTCTGTGTTTTCTGATCAAAGGTCACAGCCGTTCAGGTGCGGAGCCAGGTTCAGCTTTTAGGGTGGAGCCGGCTGCTTTGCCCTGCTGGTGGCCACAGCGGAGGTAAATCTGTTTATTTGGTATGATCAGACCAACTTCATCCTTCCGTCTTTCTGGGGTTGGTCTCGTTCCGCTGGGAGACTTGATCAGACCCAGAAACATTTTAAATTTAGCAGCAGCTCGAAAGAAAAACCCACAGCCGAGATACTGAAGACAGTAAGGTGTTTGTTCAAAAGTTATTATAAATAACTTATTTGWATAAAAGAAGCTGAAATAATTGAGGCTTTTAATATAAACCAGTTTGTGAGAATTGCTCTGTCAGGAAGTACTTTTATCATTTATTTGCATCTTGTGTCTCCTCACATGTAAATCATGAGGAAAGGTGTGGGCCCCTGGTCTACAGCTATTTTTAGAGCCTTATAAAACAAGCAAATTAAAATATTGACTATGAGCACATTAACTTTAAGTAGAGCTGCTCTTGTTGCTTTAATCTAAAGTCTCAAGCACGGAAAACCGATGGACCATCTGAAATTTAACATTTACTCTGTCGCAGTTTACTTTTAATCAGTCACTGCTGTAGCAACATGGAAAATGTGAAATGTTTTATTTATTTAAACTCAAATATCATCATCAAATACATTCCCTGGCAAAAAATTATGGAATCACCGGCCTCAGAGGATGTTCATTCAGTTGTTTAATTTTGTAGAAAAAAAAGGCAGATCACAGGCATGACACAACATTAAAGTAATTACAAATGATAACTTTCTGGCTTTAAGAAACACTAAAAATAAATCAAGAAAAAAATTGTGGCAGTCAGTAACAGTTTCTTTTTTTGGCCAAGCAGAGGGAAAAAAATATGGAATCTCTCAATTCTGAGGAAAAAATTTTGGAATCATGAAAAACAAACAAAAGACCACTCCAACACATCACTTGTATTTAGTTGAACCACCTCCGTTTTTTTTCTAACAGATTGCAGTCTCTGAGGCATGGACTTGGCACAGTGTGTAGGATTTTGTCAATTCTTTTAGCCGAAATTGAGATAATCACTTATGACAATAATAAAAAACATGTCTAATCATTGCAGACAAAGACCTTGTTTTATTATTTTTACCTTATAAAAAGCTGTTTATATCTCCATGGTCGCGGGTCGCCACTACAGGCAGCCGCCATCTTGAACCGCCATCTTGTCTACGAAGGCTCATGAAGGACAAACTGCGGTGGCGGCGTCAAAAACGGTTTTAGTTGTGATACTACAAATGTAATATTTGTTGTCTGTCATTGTAGCTGGGATAATTTTACTTATTAAAGCTCATAATCTTACCACTTGAAACATCACTAGCCCTGAAGCTGCTGGTAGACATCGCGGTTGGAATTATCAAAGATTTTTGACACCTGAGAGACACCGTAGCAACTCCTTTGTGTTTGGAAGTGGGGGGGTGGGGGGAGGACCAGGGAGGATGATTCAACCACTCAACCACTAGATGTCGCTGAAAACAACAAATCCTACACACTGTGCCTTTAATGAGAGACCAACACTCCATCAATCTAAGTCAAACTTTCTCTGACTGCTGTTGCCAGATCAGCTCAGTCTTCTTGTGGACCATTTTTTTCAACTTCCACCGAAGATTTTCATTTGGGTTGAGATCTGGACTATTTGCAGGCCATGACATCGACTGAATGTGTCTTTCTCCAAGAAATGCCTTCACTGTTTCTGCCCTATATGGCACAATGCATTGTCGTTTTGGAAAATGATTTCATCACCTCCAAACATCTGTTCAATTGAAGGGATGAGAAAACTGTCCAAAATGTCGATGTAAACTTGTGCATTGATAGAAGGATGAACCACAGCCATCAGTGCCTTTGCCTGACATGCAGCCCCATATCATCAAGGACTGTGGAAATTTGGTTGTTTTCTTCAGGCAGTCCTCTTCATAAATCTSACTGGAMCGGCACCAAACAAAAGTTCCAGCATCATCACCTTGTCCAATGCAGATTCTTGACTCATCACTGAATATGGCTTTCATCCAGTCGTCCACAGTCCACAACTGCTTTTCCTTAGCCCATTGTAAGCTTGTTTTTTTCTGTTAGGTGTTAATGATTGCTTTCATTTAGCTTTTCTGTATGTAAATCCTATTTCCATTAGGCGTTTTTTTTTTTACAGTTTGGTCAAGACATTGACTCCAGTTTCCTCCCATTCGTTCTTCATTTGTTTTGTTGTGAATTTTCTGTTTTGGAGACACATTGCTTTAAGTTTTCTGTCTTGATGCTTTGATRTCTTTGYCTTTAACAACCTTCCCGTGTTGTTTGTGTTTGGTCYACAWTTTAGACACAGCTGTACTGAACAACCAACAGTTTTTGCAACATTRCGTGATGATTTACCCTCTTYTAAGAGTTTGATCATCCTCTTCTTTGTTTCAATTGACATGTCTCGTGTTGGAGCCATGATTCATGTCAGTCCACTATTTGCAACAGGTCTCCAAAGTGTGATCACTCCTTTTTAGATGCAGACTAACGAGCAGATCTGGTTTAATGCAACAGGTGTTAGTTTTGGGAATAAAAATTTACAGAGTGATTCCATATTTTTTTCCCTCTGCTTGGTCTAAAAAATTAAGTTGCTGACCACATTTTTTCTTGATTTCTTTTAGTT